GGGGTTTAGGGGTTTAGGGGTTTAGGGGTTTAGGGGTTTAGGGGTTTAGGGGTTTAGGGGTTTAGGGGTTTAGGGGTTTAGGGGCTTTACGGCAACACCTTCAGCCACGTTCGTGAACTCCACGACGATGACAGCTTGGGATGCTCCCCGGAATACTAACAGTCCTTAACAGGGATGATTGTTCCCCCTATTGTCATCCCTGGTAAGGACTGTTAGTGTAAGGGCGAACACCCCACATAGGAGCCGAAGCCTGAGCCCAACGAAGCAACAAGCGCCAAAGGAACAAGCGGAAAGTTGACAATGGGGATGCACACGCTGACAAAGGCCAGCAGTCCAATGTTCAACAAAGTTGATATACCCCAAACCCTAAACCCTAAACCTAAACCCTAAACCCTAAACCCTAAACCCTAAACCCTAAACCCTAAACCCTAAACCCTAAACCCTAAACCCTAAACCCTAAACCCAACGAAAGGCCGGAGGGCAGGGGGGAGACGGTGGGACGTTTCAAGATTTCGGCGGCTCGGCTTTAGGGGTGTCTGTCAGGCTGTTCCCCCTGAAACTCAGAGTCATTAAGAGGGATTCGGGTCTAGGGTCTAGGGTTTAGGGTATAGGGTTTGGGGTTGTACGAAAATCCGTATGAAGGACTGTTAGTATAAGCGGGAGCATCCCAATCTGTCTCTGCCAAGGAACGTCTTCCACATCCTCCAAAGAGTTGGCATGTAGCTCCAGCGGTGTCGCCGATTTTTTCCCCGGCAGGCACCGCGACATGGAAATGGTAAACTTGTCAGCTACGCTACCACAGATTCCCTGGATCTTTTTGAATCAGCTGGGCCAAATGCTAGGCGGAAGACATGAGAAGCGAGGTGAGGCGATCGAGTGCTCAAGCAGATGGTCCGTGTGGGGGCCGCGTGGGTCCCGTTGATAGCACCTAGCCACATTCCTCACTACAAAGGCTACCCAAGAACTGGAATAAACCCATGAGCATCCAACCCCCAGAAAGAAAGAGAAAGACCCAAATCCCCAATCTTCAGGGGGCGCCGCCTCTCGCGGGCCACTTCCCGCGCGCGCGCGCGCGCGCATGCCCTCCGTGAGAGAGGGAGGGCAGCTGCGAGCCAAATGCCGATGGCGGGACGAACTCAAGGACCTACAAGTCGGAAGACAACTTGAAATAACAAATTGAAGTCATAGTAATACCTCTGTATAATACGAACGATAATAACATTACGAGCAACTAGCACTACCACACTCAAGAATGATGCAAATCAAAGGCATCATCACCCTGCCAGCACGGCTGTTGCCACTACAGAATCAGAAGGCCCAAACATGTTTCGGGGGCTGAGGAGTCTGCCTCTTGGTGCTTGCGCAGGGGGGTGGGCTCAGGCTTGCTGGGGTTGCTGGGAAGTGTCGCATGTTTGTCCTTTCTTCTTTATTTGGGTGAAGGGGGTAAGGCAGTGGTTCTAGTGGTGGCCGAACCCTGCACCCGGAAAGGCCCCTACAGCCCTAACCCTACACCCTGAAAAGGCCCTGAAGCCCCTCACAGCTGCACCCCTCAACCCATCATGCCATGCCTAGGCTTCAAGTCCCTGAGGAGTGTAGGGGCTGAGGAGTTGAGAGGTTTCGGGGTTTGGGCTGTGAGGTTTGAAGGTTTGTGGGTGTTTTTGGTTTAGGAAAGTTTAGGGTTTAGGGCTTAAGTTTGCAAATCCTGCAACCCGAAGCCCCAAAAGCCCTCTAAACACAAGCCCGGAGCAGGAGACTTTTCTTTCCGTTGAGGCTCGGAAGCTTCAGCGTACGCACGATTAGCCAGCTGCTGTCAAATGCAGCCCTCGGACGAGGTCCTGGAAAAGAGGGCTTGAGGGTTTAGGGTTTAGGGTTTAGGGTTTAGGGCTTAGGGTTTAGGGTTTAGGGTTTAGGGTGCGGGAGCTTCGGTTGTCGGGGGTTTGATGTTTAGGATTTAGCGTTTGGGGTCTGCTACACCCCGCACAAAAGGTTTCGGGCTTTGGGTTCGGGGTTTAGGGCCAAACCCCTGACCCTGAACCCCGGGACGCCAGAACCTAAATCCTCAACCCTGCACGCCCAAACCCCACGACCCTCAACCCCCCCAAACGCAAACTTTGAGGCGCTCATGGGGAGTGAACATAGCTTTAATCCTCGCTTTAGGGTTTACAGCGGGGTTTAAGGTTTAGGGCTTTGCCTGCTGAACCCTGAACCCTCAACGGAGTCCCGGCGGTCACCCCTCCGCACGCCTGCTTTTGGCGATCCGACAGGGTCCTTCAGGCAAGTCCGACGGGAACCTAACTCGGGAAAGGACAGTTTGAGAGCTTATAGTTATGGGGCTTAGGACCCTGCCTTTTGCCCTAAACCGTCGTAGGGTGAGGATGGGAAGGTGCAAAGCCAGCAAGAGCCCAAGGCTCTTCAAAGCAGCTGCTGGGGCTTCGTCACGTAGGCATATGACTTACCGTCGGGATTTCGGCACATTCCTCGGTTGGCCTCTTCAGCCTCCCCAAAAACCCCCTACACCCTAAACCCTAAACCCTAATTTTGAACAACCCACCCGGAACCCGGCCCAGCCTGCCAGGTCTAGAGGGCTTTGGGGGGGAGGGTTTTGATTCTGTAACGGGAAGCGGGTTTCCCAGAATCTTCGTCTAATATTTCTGTGAATGGAGCCCCCGGTGAGAACATTCATGGTACGGATGGAAAATGACGTATGTCCGGCCACGGACCAGTTTCTATCCCATGGCTTCCGCGCGTGTCAGATACGGGATCGAAGCACAATTGCCCGATTGGAAGTAGCCAACCTGGCAGCGAAGGCAGCCACGAAGTTCATGGTAGACTCCGCTCTTGTACTGCACTGCCTCCTGTGTGATCACACATGGGCTTGAATTCCGAATTGCTTGCTGGACGGCGGACGCCAAGAAACCTTTCCAGTCCCAGGAGTCGCCGTACACATCTTCTTGAAGCAGCCGAACCACAGTCTTGCCATTCCGCAGCGCCCACTGCTCCTTGAAGTGGTCTCTTTGCGGCACGCCTTTGTCATCTTCAGATCCACCCCACCCGACCCCAAAATGCCCAATGTTGCCATCCAGCTCGATGAGAATGGTGTCGTTGTTCAGGCCAAAGTCGAAAGGCAAAGTGCGATTCGACGCCGGGCTCGTGCAGCCCCCAACCTGCGAGGTCACGTTGAACTGCGAGAAGTTCTGGGCCAACCACCGCATCAGCTTTCTTTCGGTCTTTCTTGAACATAGACAGCCAGGAGACCGGCCTTTCAGGTTGTTCAGTTTCGTGCTGCGAGAGCGATGGCCGCAGTGGCGACACGTCACATCCAGCTTCGACCTCGCACCTTTCACGTGGGCTTTCCACCAGGCTTCGTCCATGCGCCTGACATCGTACTGGCCACCATAGCGCTCCCAGATCATCTCCAGACATCGAGCACGCCCTGCCGGGCTGGACCAAAGCACGCCGCCATTGCAGAAACAGCCGGGAGATTGGCCACTCCGCAGGTTGTCCAGAGACGTGCTTCGGGAGCGATGGCCGCAGTGGCGACACGTCACATCCAGCTTCGACGTCGCACCTTTCACGTGGGCTTTCCACCAGGATTCGTCCATGTGCCTGATATCGTACTGGCCAGCATAGCGCTCCCAGATCATCTCCAGACATCGGGCACGCCCTGCCGGGCTGGACCAAGGCACGCCGCCATTGCAGAAACAGCCGGGAGCATGGCCTGTCTGCAGGTCGTTCAGCCTCGTGCTGCGGGAGCGATGGCCGCAGTGGCGACACGTCACATCCAACTTCGAGTCGCTGCCTTTCACGTGGGCCTTCCACCAGGCCTCGTCCATGCGCCTGACATCGTACTGGCCACCATAGCGCTCCCAGATAATCTCCAGACATCGAGCACGCCCTGCCGGGCTGGACCAAGGCACGCCGCCATTGCAGAAACAGCCAGGAGATTTGCCTTGCTGCAGGTCGCTCAGTCTCGTGCCGCGGGAGCGATGCCCGCAGCGGCGACACGTCACATCCAGCTTAGCATTCTTGCCTTTCACGTGGGCTTTCCACCAAGCCTCGTCCATGCGCCTGACATCGTACTGGCCAGCATAGCGCTCCCAGATCATCTCCAGACATCGAGCACGCCCTGCCGGGCTGGACCAAGGCACGCCGCCCTTGCAGAAACAGCCAGGAGTTGTGCCTTGCTGCAAGCTGCTGACCGACGTGCTGCGGGAGCGATGGCCGCAGCGGCGACACGTCACATCTAGCTTCGAAGCCCTGCCTTTCACGTGGGCTTTCCACCAGGCCTCGTCCATGCGGCTGACGTCGTACTGGCCGCCGTAGCGGTCCCCAAGCATCTGCAGGGCCCTGAGCCGGCCGGCTTCACTCCTCCACAGGAATGCGGTGACTTTGGCAGACCCGTCTTTGCCGCTTGGCTTTTGCTGGGAACTATGAGCACGAAGACGCTCAAGGGCCACGTTCCCGTCCGCATTTGCCGCAAGGCCGTTCGGTTTCCAGCCCGCACGAGGGGATGGCAAGAACCCTGACTGATACCGAAGGCTGGCCAGCAGTGCAAGCAGCCAACAGAGGAGCCGCGACCGTCCCGGAAACTTCGGCAACATGTGCGGCATGCGCGGCGCAGGCGGCACGGCATGGGCACTGCGACAAGGCCAAGGATGCTGATCTTCGCCTTGCAACCTAACCTTTCGATTCGCAGACATTGCGGACGCGAAACGGAATCGCAAGTCAGGCAGCCGAGGTCGAGTTGAAGCTTCGGGACACCCCAAAGGCTCCAACCGAAGCCCTTACCCTGAGGGGGTCGTTTGCTTGGGGGGAGCGCGAACCCTATATAGTAGAAAACCCCAAACCCTCAGCCCTAGGCCCTCAATCCCTAAACCCCTAGCACGCCAAACCCCAAGACCCAAAACTCGACGCCCCAAAACCCTCCTGCTTAAACCCTGCTCCCTGAAGGTCGGTGGTGGGGGGGAAGGTTGAGCCCTGCCTTCGATGGAGCTCTCCAGTTACGACGCTTCGGCCTGCGGCCAGGGACGCCATCGACCCCAAACCCCTCTACTTGCTAGAAGGGTTTGAGGGTTTAGGGTTTAAGGTTGAGAGTTTAGGGTTTGGGGTTGAGTGCTTTTGAGCTTACAAAGTGCCGGTGTTGGCGCTGTTGAAATTGAAGATGGTCGGGGCAGTCGATGAGGGGTAGGAACAAAGCTACGTGGGGCTCGGGTTTTGGTTGGTGTTTACCCCAAAAACAAACCATAATTCACAACCCAACCCTACAAACCTCGCAAAGCTCAGCCCAAGAGCCGCGGAGGCTATCCTCTGGGCTAAGGATTCTGCAGCGAGGGTTTAGGGTTTGGTGTGGTGTGAGGGCTCGTCTCCTGCGCCGGGAACCGACCCCCCCCCAACTTCTTAAGACCCTTGGAGTATGGATCTTGGTGTACGCGATAGATGGCTCTTTACATGGTCGCGCCGTGTTAAGTTCCTGCAAAAATACCCAGAACATCTACTGCCAATGACGCACAAAGAGCCCCTGCACTGGTTAACTCCGCCAATTGCCAAAACAAGAAGCTGGACAAACCAACAACCCTTAAACCCCCGAAACTGCAAAGTTAAACCCCGAAGCCCGAAACCCCCAAACAGCCCTAGACCCTAAACCCAAAACCCGAAACCCTAACCAGCCCCCAAACCACAAACCCCAAAAACATAAACCTTGCCCGCCCTACCCACCTGCCTGGGGCTCTGCCTTCGGATCCACCTCGTCGTCCTTGGCCTTCGCTTTTCGCAGCTTCAGGGCTCATGGGATTTCTCTTCAGTATGATTCAGGATGTTGGGGTTTTGGGGTTTCAGGGTTTAGGGTTTAGGGTTTAGGGTTTAGGGTTTAGGGTTAGAGTCTTAGGGTTTTGGGGTTGTAGGATTCTTGGGTTTGAGGGTTTCAGGGGTGTGGACTTTGGACCTTGCGGGTGTTCAAAAGCTGGCATGTTTGTAGCATTCTCCCCAAAATTCCTCAATCCCTCAACTCTTTAGCCCCAACCCTATACCCTAAGCTCCGAAGCACGAAGCGGGTCAGGGTTCGGACAGACTTCCCGGAGCATGGACTTTCTCGCTCTTTCTCTTTCTCACAACCCTCAGCCCAACACGCAGCCAGATCCTCAACAAACACCCAAACACCCATACACCCATACACCCCCCCCCCCCCAAAAAAAAAAAAATATATATATATATATAATAGTAATAAACCTTAAACCCTAAACCCTCCTCAACCCTAAACCCGACTCCCAAACCCTAAACCCTCCCAAACCCTAGACCATAAACCCTACACCCCACCTCAAGCCCTCCCTCAATGTGCATACTCGGCCCAAGTGGAACAGGCACCGCTCCTCCGCGTCATCGGCCTCTGCGATTAGTTGGGTCAGAGGAATGAGCTGCCAAGCGACTGGTGCTTTGCGCTTTTCGGGTGTGGGGGTTAGGGTTTCAGGTTTGGGGCTTAGGGTTTAGGGTTTAGAGTTTAGGGTTTAGGGTTTAGGGTTTAGGGCTTAGGGAGCTTAGGGAGCTTAGGGTTTAGGGTTTCGGGCTTAGCGTTTTTAGAGCTGAGGATGCCCAGACCTACCAGGCTGATTGCCAGAAAGCCACCACCCCCCCCCCCCCCCTGGATAGGATCCCTAGGTCTCAGCCACAAGATGTAGGCCTGGGGCTTGCAATCTTCTTTGCAGGCGACATCAGGGCTCAAGAGGCCTCAAGGCCTTCCCTACTTCTGAGGGCTACACCCTAAACCCTAAACCCTAAACCCTAAACCCTAAACCCTAAACCCTAAACCCTACTTCTGAGGTCTTGCAGCTTCAGGATGCTGCGGGGTCTTCGGGCGGAGGGTGCCCGAAAGATGGCGAGGCCAGGGCACACTTCGGATGCAGACTCACCACCCCACCCTCAGCCTGAAACCTTGAACCCGAAACCCTGAACCCTGAACTCTAAACCCTAAACCCTAAACCCTAAACCCTAAACCCTAAACCCTAAACCCTAAACCCTAAACCCTAAACCCTAAACCCTAAACTCAAATTAAAAACCCTAAACCCTAACCCCAAATAAAACCCTACACCCTAAACCCTAACCCCCAACTTAAACCCTGCCCTACACCCCAAAAAAACTCCGGGAGCCCATGCTGCCGCATCGAAGGCGGTGGCGTCCGCGTCCTCCTCCGCGCTGCGCTTCGACCTGGGGCGCGGTTGGGGTTTAGGGGTTTAGGGGTTTAGGGTTTAGGGTTTAGGGTTTAGGGTTTAGGGTTCAGGGTTCAGGGTTCAGGGTTTAGGGTTCAGGGCTTAGGGGTTTAGGGTTTGGGGTTTAAGGGTTTAGGGTTTAGGGGATTAGGGTTTAGGGTTTGGGGGTTTAGGTCCGGGGTTTGGGGCCGAGGGTCCAGGATTTAGGATTTGGGGTTTGGGGTTTAGGGTTGAGGGTTTAAGGGTTTGGGGTTTAAGGGTTTAGGGTTGGGGGTTGGGGCTTCGGGTCTAGGGGGTTTAGGCTTCAGGGTTTAGGGAGGTCATCTTGCAGGCTTTCTGCTTGCCAAGTTGCACACCAGGGCCAGTTTGTGATTGACATACCCCCCGTGGGCACTTCTCTGATGCAAACTTTCACGTAATTCAAAGCCCAAAAGGCGCATGTGCAACCCAAATAACCCTCCAAGATACCGTGACTCAGCTCTAGTGACCCTAAACCCCCAGAAAACCCCAACACATCATCATAAGTCGACCCCCCCCTAAACCCTAAACCCTGAACCCTAAACCCTGAACCCTAAGCCCTAAACCCTAAACCCTAAACCCTAAACCCTAAACCCGAAACCCTAAACCCTAAACCCTAAACCCTAAGCCCTAAACCCTAAGCCCTAAACCCTAAGCCCTAAACCCCAAAACCTAAGCCCTAAACCCTAAACCCGAAACCCTAAACCCTAAGCCCTAAACCCTAAGCCCTAAACCCTAAACCCTAAACCCTAAAACCTAAGCCCTGAACCCTAAACCCGAAACCCTAAACCCTAAACCCTAAACCCAAAGCGTTCTGGGGCGGACGCTTCGCGGACTTCTCCTTGGCCGCCTCGCCGCCCTCGCCGGCAGCATCCTCCGCGTCGGCGCCTCGCGGGGTTTAGGGTTTAGGGTTTAGGGTTTAGGGTTTAGGGTTTAGGGTTTAGGGTTTAGGGTTCAGGGTTTAGGGTTTAGGGGTTTAGGGTTTCGGGTCTAGGGTTTAGGGCTTAGAGTTCAGGGTTTAGGGGTTTAGGGGATTTCGCGTTTGGGAGCTGCAACTTGCCAGGGATAGCGCGGGCAACTTTTCTTGATGCGCTCGCGCTCGTCCATCTCGTCTATTGCTCTCACGATGAGCATGTGGCCGTAACGAACCTGAGCCGAGGGGCAAATCCTCAGCCCTAAACCCTAAACCCTAAGCCCCAAGCCCTAAACCCTAAACCCTAAGCCCTAAACCCCAAGCCCTAAACCCTAAACCCTAAGCCCTAAACAACAAGGCAGCAGGTTGAACCCTTCTCAATTAGCAACCCTTTGCACCAGCCCAAGGACTCATCTACCCTGAGCCCTATGTAAGCCCTGAGCCAAAGGCTAGAGATGCTAGAGCTTATGGGGCTTGGGATGAAGCATTTAGGACTTGTCTGGATATAATCACGAAGTAAAAAATCTCAACGTGTAATAACATAACCAAGTAACAGTACATTTTACAAATAATGACATAATAGTAATACTGGTATAAGAATACATGGCTATGATAGGGTTTCGGACTATGCTAGGGTTTCGGGGGCTCCCTTCCCGGAGAACGAGAGGAGGGGGATATTCCCTCAGGCAGGTGGCGGCAATGTCGCGCGCACTCCAGCCCACGCCTGGGGTTGAGGCTTTAGGGTTTTAGGGGTTAGGGTTTTCGGGTTTAGGGTTTAGGGTTTAGGGTGAGGCTTTAGGGTTTTAGGGGTTGAGGTTTGCGCAAGACTCCAGGGCTTAAGGTGTCATTCTGACAGCTTGTAGCGACCATCCCCTGCCGCTTGAAGCCCCAAGCATGCTTCATCTAGAGTCGCGGGCTGGGAAGCGTCGCAGAACGGACGCGACCATGCGGGGAGGGTTGCGATGAAGGTGGGCAGGCGACATACCGGGGCTCGAAGTAAACTGGATGTATCTAGGCAAAGCACGACCAGCCTGTGAGATAAACAGCTTCAGATCACAGCCAAGTACCGGCATCACATGTTGCGAAGCGATGGGCATGCCCGACATGCGTCAACGCCGATGATACCACCGTTGTGGTGCATGAGGGCCACAATGCGAATTGTGTGCTGCTGTTCAAACTCCATGTCGAGATGCGTTCCCAAACTCCATCCCAAACCTATGGCAGCCCCGCCTCCTTGCGGATCTCTGGTCAACCCACAGCCGCATCCTAGCTAGGCTTCCCTAACCGAAACCCCAAACCCCCCTGCAACATCATCCCGAGACCCTCAACTCCTAGGTAGGCTTCCAAGCAGGCCGCCGTTGCGATCGATCTGGGCATAGGCGGAGTTGACCACCTGAACGGGCAGAGGAGCAAAATTCCTAATCCCACCCCGGGGTAAACGCGAGGAGTTTCAATCCAAAGCATTGCGCCCGAACCCTCCCCCCCTCCCCCAACGAAACGCGCGCTTTGTCTAGGGCTTTTGTGTTTGGGGATCAAGGCCAAGGTCTTCCAATCTAGATCACGACATTGAGCAGCGCGCAAAAACCAAGTGCAAACCCTAACCCCGAACTCTCTAAACCATCTGAACCCGAAGCCCGAAACTCCTGAACCCCCAAGCCTCCTAAACTCTCTTTGTGAACTTTTAAACGCTCTAAACCAAAGACCGTCTAGCCTGAGCTCTAAACCTTGAACTTGCTAAAGCCGAAACCCTCTCTCCCCTAGACCTCAGACCCCCTAAACCCCAACAAAGCCCTACAACCTTTACTCACCCCTCTCACCCTAAACCAAAGACCGTCTAGACCCTCCCGGGCCGTGAACGCGTCGCTGCCGACGAGGACGAGAGCAGCCCCGAGGTGTCCCCGGCTGGCCGCACAGTGGAGGGCCTTGGGCGCTTGGGCGCTGAGGGTTTTTAGATTTCGGGGTTTGCGCGCGGGCCTGAAACCCGAAACCCTAAACCCTAAACTAAACCCTAAGCCCTGAGCCCTAAGCACTAAACCCTAAACCCTAAACCCTAAACCCCAAACCCCCTAAACCCTGAACCCAAAAACAAAGGACCCCAGAGCCGGGCAGCCGTGAGCCCGGAGAGGTCGTGGGCGTCGGCTTCCCGGAAGTCGCCACGCTCCAGGATGCACTCGCACACCTCTTCTCTCGCCAGGGTTGAGGCGTTTAGAGGTTCAGGGGTTCAGGCTTTTAGGGTTTAGGGTTTAGGGTTTAGGGTTTAGGGTTTAGGGTTTAGGGTTTAGGGTTTAGGGTTTAGGGTTTAGGGTTTAGGGTTTAGGGTTTAGGGTTTAGGGTGTCTCAATGAGTGGGCGCGCTGGTGCTGAAAGCACCCAGGCGCGCGCCCCGAGTTGCATAAACCCACCCCCGCTGGCGCTCCACCCTCGCCTTAACCTCTACGGGTTTAGGGTTCTTTTGAACTCTGATCGTGCTTTTGAAATTTTTCTCTTGTCTATTGGTTGGGTTTAGAAGCTCGGCATCGATGCCGATCAACTACCCTGAAGCTCGCAGCCCCTAGGCATTGCAAGGGAGATGTCTATCAGTCGAGGGCTGCTGGGAGAGCCAAAAGTCAGAGGTTTGGGCTTGGGGTTGGCTGCCGCCTTCGCTCTGTGATGCTGCATGTTGGGCGGGGGTTGGAAAACTTGCTTGGAAGGGCGTGAAATCAGAAGTTTGCCTCATTCGAGGCTGCCGCCTTCGCGCCCTGAAGTCAAAGGGGTGGGATGGGCGGTTGCTGCTGCCTTCGCTTTCGCTGATGCTGCAGCTGGACCTTGTTGGAGTCGTGGTGGCCTTGTGAATCATTTTAAAAGTGAAAAACCCAAAGGTTTGGGCTTGGGGCTGGCTGCCGCCTTCGCCCTTGGTGATGCTGCGTCTTGTTGGGGATCTGGATCCCTAGCTTGAAAGGGCCAGGCACCTCAGGCCAAGGCCTGTTTTTCAGGCAGGGTAAGCAGATCCAGTCCCAGGCAGGGGGCCACAGCCTCCCAGCAAGTTTTTCTAAAACTAAACCCGAAGGTTTGGGCTTGGGGCTGGCTGCCGCCTTCGCCCTTGCATGCTGCGTCCTGGCTGGGGATCTGGATCCCTTGCAAAAATCCTCAGAGCAAAGCCAGGAGCAAAGCCAGGCCAGACAGGGCTCCCAGGCAGGGGGTCCCAGGCAGGGGCCTTCCAGGCCTCCCAGGCAAGGGGCTCCCAGGCAGCTCCCAGGCAGACAGGGGCCTCCCAACACCTCTCTCAGGCAGCGACCCCCCATATCTTTTAGGCAGGGGCCTTGGCCTCCCAGGCAGGGGCCTCCCAGGCAGGGGCCTCAGGCAGCAAGCAGGAGCCTCCATTCACAGGACCCGTGCAGGGGCCTCCAAGGCAGGGGCCTCCTAGGCAGGGGCCAGCCCCTCTCAGACAGGGCCTCCCAGGCAGGAGCCTCCCAGGCAGGGGCTTCCAGGCAGAGCCAGGCAGGGGCATTCCAGGCAGGGCCTTGCAGACAGGGGTCTCAAAGGCCTGCAGAGGGGCCTCCCAAACAGGGACTCCCAAACCCTCCCAGGCAGGGGCCTCCCAGGCAGGGGCCTCTGGCTCCCAGGCAGGGGCCTCCCAGGCAGGCAGGGGAACCCAGCCAGGTCCCTCCCAGGCCCCCCTTCCCAATCAGGGGCCTCCCAGGCAGGGGCCTGCCAGGCAGGGGCCTCCGGCACGGGCACGCGCAGGAGGTTGCGATGTTTTACCCGAAGGTTTGGGGTATCTCATTCTAGGGCGACCTGACGGGTTTCTCGCCAGCGACCTGCCGGGTCCACCGCACAGCCCGCAGCTGTCTGCGGGACTGGAGCTCCGTCGCCCGCCGAAGGGCTTCTGGCTCCGGAGCGGCCTCGCCTGGCGGCTTCGGCGCGTTCGTCCTGCTCGACGGCCCCGGGCTCACTCAGTTTAGGGTTTAGGGTTTAGGGTTTAGGGTTTAGGGTTTAGGGTTTAGGGTTTAGGGTTTAGGGTTTAGGGTTTAGGGTCTAGGGTTGAGGCGTTTAGGCGTTTAGAGGCTTAGGGGTTTAGGCTGGGATATTCCCCCTTATACTAACAGTCCTTGATTGGGATTGTACTACAATCCCTTTTTTCAGGACTGCTAGTATAAGGGGAAACATCCCAGGGTTTAGGGGTTCAGGCTTTAGGGTTTTAGGGTTTTAGGGGCTTTGGGTTTTCAGGCTTTTGGTCTCCGACCATTCAGACTGTTCGGGCTTGCCAGAGCTACCTAGAATCTCAAACACCCTGAACCCTGAAACCTAAACCCTAAACCCCAAAACCCCAAAGTCCCTGACGCCCTCAACCCAAAAACCCAAATCCTAAAATCCCAAACGCCCTAAACCGAAAACCCTAAACCCTAAAAAATCCCAAACACCCTCCTACAACCTAAACCCTAAACCCTAAACCCCAAACCCTAAACCGTCTAAACCCTAAAACCCCAAGTGCGGGGCGCCTCCTTCAGCCCACACCAGGCTGCATGGTGGAGAAGGGTCCAGTCGTTGGAATCCTGCCGAGAGAGACTGTTGGGTTCTTGCGTTCAGGGTTTAGGGCTTGGTAGGTTTAGGGTTTTGGGTTTAGGGTTTAGGGGTACATTGCTTCGAGTTTCGGGCTGTGGGGCTTCAAGGTTTTTGGCGGGGGATTTAGGGGACTGTTGGGGGGGCGGGGGGGGGGGGGGGTTGGAGGCTTTGGGGCTCCACGCTCCAGCCCTCATCCCTCCTCCGAAACGACACCCGAAACCCCGCAATAACCAACAGCCCGAACTGGGGCCCGAACCCTTAAGCTCTAACGTCTAACACCCCCCTAGAACCCCAAAACCCAAAAACCCTAAACCCCTACGGCCCTGAAACCCTTCAACCCTTGAACCCTAAACGCTAAACCCCAACAACAACAACCTAGCTCAACTCCCTAACATGTTGCTGGCGCGTCCTTGTCGTTGATACCTGCAGTGCAGGGCCCGACATGCTTCCACCGCCCAAAGCTTGTGTAGGGTTCAGGGTTGAGGATTTAGGGTTTAGACTGCAGAACAGAAAGTGACAACATCGAGTACTTGTGTGGAGGACGTTGCTTGTGAACATGCCTGAGCAAGCCCACTTTGGGCTTGAGAGAGGACTTCCTGACTGAGCAAGTCAAGTAGTGGCCTTGGGCCGTTTCGGTCTTTTGGGGTTTAGGGCTTAGGGCTTAGGAATTAGAGGAAAGTCTTCCCCCACCCCCCCCGCCCCGCCTGGCAGGTCTTCCAAGGAGAGAAGGTCCAAACACCTGGCTTGCTGTTCTGCCTGCCATGTACTAGATGTCCATCATATGGGCATCTGCACCTTGAAACCCTAGACCCTAAATCCTACACCCTAAACCCTAAACCCTAAACCCTAAACCCTAAACCCTAAACCCTAAACCCTAAACCCTTAACCCTAAACCCTAAACTCTTAACACGAACCCAGGAGCTGCTCCACGTCATGGTTCGCGATGGCCCTGCGCAGAACCTGAGCGCCGCAGGTGCTTGCTCAAATCAAAATGCGCGCTGCAAAACAAAACCCCCTAACCACCCACAGTAGACTCCATGAAGTCGGAGCATGGTTTAAGGGCGACTAGTGCTGGGATTCCCTTTAGGAAGCCTCTTGGGGGTATGAGGACAATGATGCTCCAACTTTTGGGAGTTTACTATAAGCTCTAGAACCCCGAAGCCCTGCCCGCCACGCCCCTGAACCCTAAACCCTAAACCCTAAACCCTGAACGCTCGACCCTAAACCCTAAACCCTCAGCCCTGAACCCTGAACCCTAAACGGCGGCGAAGGGGCAGTTCCATCCTCCTTTGGCGGGCGGCGGTCAGAGTTCGCGCGGCGGTGCGACCTGGGAGTTCGAGCAACTGGAGCAGTTGCAGGCGGCTAGAAAAGTAGCAACCTGGGAGTTGAAGGCGTTCAGGGTTCAGAGCTTGGGGCTTCGGGTTGAGGATATAGGGGTCTCGGATTTGGGGTTAAGGGGCACTCGAACAGCCGCATGCCCAGCATTGACACCCCAAAACACAAGGCTCAAAGCAACACATCCCGAAGGTAGTCTTCAGCTTCGTCTAAAGCCGAAACCCCAAGCCCTCGAACCCAAAGCCCGCAACCCGAAACCCGAAACCCGACAGTTCGTGCGTCCGGGAGGGCTGAATGAGTTGCAGCTGCACCAACTTCTCCCCTCCCACCGCCTCACGCGGAAGGGCTGCAGCCGGCTCAGGGTTTCGGGCTTAGGGCTTAGGCACCAAAGAAGCCCTCAAAGCCAAAGCAGGGGATCCTCGAGCCCCCCGCCCCCACCCAACTCCTTCAAGTTGACATAAAAGGCCCCAGGCGGTGGCCAAGGGCTCAGGGTTGCCTGATTAAAGCATTCGAGAGGCTTAGGGGCTCGGGCGCTTCTAAACCCTACACCCTTAACCCCTAAACCCGAAACCCCTAAACCCTGAACCCTAAACCCTAAACCCTAAACCCTAAACCCTAAACCCTAAACCCTGAACCCTAAACCCTAAACCCTAAACCTTTGGGAGGTCAGGGCCGCGCCTCCGCCAACAGCTCCAAGGAGGCCGTCTCGGGGAGTGGCGACGTTTGCTCTGCGTGCAGGAGGTGCTGCCTGGCGTGGAGAGGGTTTAGGGTTTAGGGTTTAGGGTTTAGGGTTTAGGGTTTAGGGTTTGGGGTTTAGGGTTTAGGGTTTAGGGTTAGGGTTTAGGGTTTAGGGTTTAGGGTTTAGGGGCGTGGAGAGGGGGGGGGGGTGTAGGGTCTGGGGCGGTTTGTGGGAAGAGGGGGGGGCCAGGGTTGGGGGTGTTTGGGGTTTAAGGGGGTTTGGGGGGTTTGGGGGTTTGAGGGATTGAAGGTTTGAGGGTTTGAGGGTTTGAGAGCTTGCGGTTTGAAAGTTTGGGGTGTTTGGCGGTTTGGGGTTTGGGTTTGAGGTTCATGGGTTTGGGGTTTACTCAAACGTAAAGTCGCAGAAATCTTCACGTAAAAGTCGTCCAATGTTTGCACTATAGGTTATAGGGTTTAGGGTTTAGGGTCTAGGGCTTCTGGAAGATTTATGGACCAGAAGGGGTGGTGGGGGGGACTTTTCTTCAGAGCAACTGGCATCCGACCCGCCTCGTCTGCGGGATGTCGGTCTCACTTTGGATCCGGTGCCTTGTGGGCTCACAGGAAACTGGCAAAGTAACCTCTAACCCTAAACCCTAAACCCTAAACCCCAAACCCCAAACCCTAAACCCTAAACCCAACCTGATTCATAAGGTCGGTTCCGTTTCTACGAAAGGTTCCCCCCTTTTACAGGACTCTTGTCCCAACGGTCCATCCCCTCCTCCCCGACAACCCTCGAGCTAAAGCTCTGAAACCCCAGACCAAGTCTCTCTAGAGATAATCGGTGGTCCCATCTTTCAGGGTTGAGGGTTTAGGGTTTATAGGGTTTGTAGGGTTTATAAGGTTAGATGTTGATAGGGTTTAGACACAGTCGGGGTGCTGGAGCTTGTCACATTGCGCAGAGGGCTTAAACCCTGAAGCCTAAACGACCTGAACCCTAAACCCTCAAGTAGCTACCCCTAAGCCCTAAACCCAAAACTATCTAAACCCAAAACCTGAAGCTTCCACACCCAAGAAGCCCCTAACAAGCCCCCAAACTCCGCACCCGAAAGTCTTAGGGTTTAGGGTTTAGGGTTTAGGCTTTAGGGTTCAGGCTTCGGCAATAGACGAGAGTTTTACCCCCCCCCCCCCCCAAAAAAAAAAAAAAATGACTGAGAAAGCCTGCTGCAAACCCAGCCTAAGTCACCCCCCGAAAAAAAACCCACAGCCTCCAAAACGCCACCCTAACCTAAACGCAATGACATGAAGTAAGACATGAACAAACAACCCCAAAACCCGTAAAGCAACCAAAGACCGGATCAAGAAAAGCACAAGCCCTGGACCCTAAACCCGAAACCAGTCCTAAACCCCTAAACCCCCAAAACCCTACCCTAAACCCCTAAACCCTAAACCCTAAACCCCTACACCCGAAGCCTAAACCCTAAACTCGAAACAAGCCTAAACCCCCAAACCCGCAACCCTAAACACTATACCCGAACCCCTAACTCCTTGCGGCTGGAGAAACTTCAAGAGCTCGACAGTGCAGGCGCGGTCCACCACCAAATGGCAGAGCCTCGAATTTTTCAGGTAAGCTTTCGGGGTTAGGGTTTCGGGCTAGATTTAGGTTTTAAAGTTCTAGGGTTTAGGGGTTTAAGGGTTTAGGGTTTAGGGGTGTAGGATATAGGGTTTAAGGGAGAGGTTTAGAGGCTCAGAGAGGTTTCGGGTCTAGGGTTTGGGGTGTAAGATGTAGGCTTTAGGCTCCAGAAGCTTGGAGGTTTAGAGTTTCAGAGGTTAGGGCAGCTTCTTGGGGTTCGGGGTTGTGTTTAGGGTTTAGGGTTTGGGATTTAGGGATTAGGATTCAGGGTTCAGGGTGTCAGGGTTTCGGGTTTAGGGTGAGGGGTTTGGGATTTAGGGATTAGGATTCAGGGTTTAAGCCCCTCTCACGTCTGGGGAGCCTCACAAGAATGGATTTCCGGTCGAGCTACCTAGAGTCCCTCAACTTTAAACCCTAAACTTAAACCCTAAGCCCTAAACCCTAGCCCTAAACCCTAAACCCTTAACCCTTAACCCTCCTAAGCCCTAAACCCTAAACCCTAAACCCCGAAACCCTACCCTCACTGGGAAAACGCCATGTGTAAATGCGGGCACCGCGGCTCTTGACCGCTCAACAGGGATACATTCACCTTCAGCCTCGGCAGGGTTTTAGGGTTTCGGGGGTTTAGGGTTTAGGGTTTAGGGTTTAGGGTTTAGGGTTTAGGGCTTAGGGTTTAGGGTTTAGGGTTTAGGGTTTAGGGTTTAGGGTTTAGGGTTTAGGGTTTAGGGGGGTTTAGGGTTTCGGGTTTAGGGCTTCGGGGGGGGCGAAGTGACGCGGGCTTTGGCGGAGCTCAAGGGTTGGTTTAGGGTTTAGGGTGTTGGGTTTTGGGTTCAGGGTTCAAGGTTTAGGGTTTAGGGTTTAGTGTTTAGGGTTTAGGGTTTAGGGTTTGAGTTTAGGGTTTAGGGTTTAGGGTTTGGGGTTTAGGGTTTAGGGTTTAGGGTTTAGGGTTTAGGGTCCGCCGACCCTGGCGGCGTGTTGGATGGGAAAAGGGGGAAAACCTCCCTCTTCCCTCCAAAATCCGGGGAGGGGGGGGGGGGGGTAGGGGGGGGTATGCAGCCCCCCCTACCCCCCCGACCCCCCCCCGACCCCCCCACCCCCCCCCCCCCCCTACCCCCCCTACCCTTCTTGCTGGCAGCTCCTGTTTGGGTCCTGGTGCTACCCCGTACCCCCCCCCAACGTTTCACAGAGGCTCAAGCAAATCAACTTTTGGCATCCTTTGAGCTGACGAGCGCGTTTAAACCTTTCAACTATGCTCCAGTGGGGTCGGCGGCTTGAGCCGGAGGCTCTTAAATTTTAGGGGCGGCGTGAAGATGAAGGCTTCGGGGCGCTGCGTATGCTTGGGCCTCAGGATTAGGTTAAATCCCAAGCCCAAACCCTCAACTCAACTTGTCCTGGAACCGTTCCAAAGTAGCAACTCTTCTCGGTCGTGGCAAATAGAGCCAGTCAAGGTCATAAGAAACAAGAGCTGCCCTGAACCCTAAACCCTGACCCCCAAAACCCGAAAACCCTAAACCCTAAACCCCAACCTAACCCTTGCACCCTACACTTCATGAAGATCCTGACCACCCCCCCCCCCAACAAAAAACTATATATATATATACATATATGATAATAATTAGAACAATAGTAATAACAATAACAATAATAATAGGAATAATAACATAGAAAGAGCAAGAGCAAGAAAAGAAACAATGGAAAGGACACACACCACTGCAGGTCCGGCGGCGGGCTGTGATCTTCTTGTGGGGCGGGTTCCTTAGAGGTGGCGACTCCGGGGGGGGGGGGGGGGACTTTAGGGCTTACGGCTTACACTAACAGTCCTTCATAGGGCTTGTAGTAGATGCTACAAGAATCCCTATGAAGGAGCTGATAGAATCAGAGGGAACATCCCAAGCACTGGTCCTCAAGGTTTGCAGTGGGTTTGGGGTGTGCTGTTTTAGTGGGCTTAGGGTGCATTGTTTTTGGGGCTCTAGGAGTCTAGGGTTCAAGGGTGTGGGGTGTAGGGTTTAGGGTTTAGGGTTTAGGGTTCAGGGTTCAGGGTTCAGGGTTCAGGGTTTAGGGTTGAGGGTTTCGGGTTTCGGGTTTAGGGTTTAGGGTTTAGGGTTTAGGGTTTAGGGTTTAGGGTTTAGGGTTTAGGGTTTAGGGTTTAGGGCTTCGAGCTTGGGTGTTGGGGGGGTTTCGGGGTTTAGCCCCCCAACAGCTGTCCCACTCCAAGCTGCGCCCCAGAGCTCCAGCAGCCGGGCCCAGCCACAGCAGCAGCTTGAATCCATGGCGCCGCGGAGGTCGGCGCGCCCGCGAAAATCGGGGAAGAGAAAGGTTCGGCGGGACTGAGGCGTTTGGGAAAGATCGGAGTTTACGGACGGGGGGTTTGAGCAAGATTGCCGGGGCCCCGTGTTTCGAACTCTGAGTAGTCGAAGCAAAACGAACACATCACGTTTAGGGCTGAAGTTGCCCAAATTAGACCCTAAACCCTAAACCTTAAACCCTGTCTCCTGAACCCCCAAACCCCCCTATCCCTCCGGATGCCCTGCTCTCCTAAGGAGGTTGCTGGGGTGGGGGGGGGCGGCTCTTGCCGTGGCGTGTTTGAACAGCCTCAAGGGCAGCGAGGACTTGCCATGTAGGGTTTAGGGTTTAGGGTTTAGGGTTTGGGGTTTAGGATTTACGGTTTGGGGTTTAGGGTTTAGGGTTTAGGGTGTAGGGCTTAGGGCGTAGGGCTTGGGGCTTAGGGCTTAGGGCTTAGGGCTTAGGGCTTAGGGCTTAGGGCTTAGGGCTTAGGGCTTAGGGCTGAGGGCTTCAGGAATCAGGCTTCAGGCTTCAGGCTTCAGGCTTCAGGCTTCAGGCTTCAGGCATTAAAGTCTAGGGCTTCTGGTTTAAAGTTTGGGGTTCTGGGTTTCTTGATAGGGCTTCGGTTTTAGAATTTAGAGTCTACGGCTGTGAGCTCAGGGTTGGGCATTTTGAGGTTTTGGGTTTAGGGTTTAGGGTTTAGGATTTAGGGTTTAGGGTTCAGGGTTTAGGGTTTAGGGTTTAGGGTTTAGGGTTTAGGGTTTAGGGTCACGGCAAAGTGTCCACGGGCGAATGCATTCCCTTCCCGTGTGGGGTCTTGGCGCGGGTGGAGGGTCCGTTCCTTTGCGTAAGTGCCTTCGGCTAAGTAGCAAACAGAGGTAGCTGTGGGAGGGGGGGGGGGCTCCTCATTCAAAACAACAAGGCTGCGTCATGCTTTGGGTTTGCGACCTAGGGTTTGGGGTTTAGGGCTTAGGAGTGTTGGAGGTTTAGGGATAAGGGTTTGCGGCCTAGGGTTAGGGTTACCAAAAAAAGGGTTACCAACACGAGGGCTTGAAGGGTCTTGAAAGTCTCTGGGGCTTAGATGGGGTGCATCAAGAATAACACCCCTATTGCCCCTTCTGCCCCAAGGGGTTAAGAGAACCCAAAAACCTAAACCCTAAACCCTAAACCCCAAACCCTGAACCCTGAACCTGAGTGGGCCTCCATCCTCCGCCTCCTTCTGGGCAGGCTTCTGGCTCTTCTTCCACTCCAGCCCTCGGTGCGGGATGCTGAGGTGGGCTGGGGAGGCCCTGGGATGAAGCATAGGGTGTAGGGTTTAGGGTTTAGAGTTTACGGTTTAGGGTTTAGGGTTGAGGGTTTAGGGTTTAGAGTTAGGGTCTAGGGTTTCGGGTTGAGGGTTTACAGGGTTGAGGGTTTAGGGTTTGGCTTTCCCTCCTTGCAGCAGCCGAACCCAGGTATGGAGATGGCCAGAAGAACTCCCCACACCCTAAACCCTAAACCCTAAACCCTAAACCCTAAACCCTAAACCCTACACCCCCTGCAACCTGAAGGTTTAAGGGCTTCAGGGGCTTCAGGGTTGGGGTGTGCCTCCTTGTACCAACAGTCCTTAAGAGGGATTTTGCTAGGGGGTGCGATAATCCCTACTAAGGACTGCCAGTATAAGGGGGGAATATGGGCGCTTAAGGTCTGCGTGTTAAACCTTTAGGTGGGGTTTGGGAGGGTTTGGGTCTAGGGGGCTTGAGGTGTAGGGTTCTGTTGCCGGCTCAGGGCTTCGGGCGAACACCCTGCCCTAAAGCCCTTAAAGCCTTTGAACCCTAAATCCCCACAGCCGCGAACAACGCCGCCGACCCTACCCTAAACCCTTAGCCTCCTAAACCCTAAACCCTAAACCCTAAACCCTAAACTCTAAACTCTTCATGGCCCTGAAGGAACACCCTCAGGCACCGGGCTTTTGGACGGCTTAGATCTTTCCTTCCGATCCTGCAGGTCTGAGGCTCAATTGCCAAGCGTGACCTGGGGCCACCCGATAGCCGAAAACCGCAAGCCCTAAAACCTTACGACCCTAAAAGCCCTAAACACCCTCAAAACCCTAAAAACCCTACAAACCCTAAAAACTCAAAAAAAAAAAAAAAATCTAAAACCCCCTAAAAACCCTAAAGCCCTAAACCCACTAAACCCTAAACCCCAAGCCCTGACCAATCGCCCCATCATCACGGGCTCCGAAGCAATGGGCCCTTCATGTGGGTCCCCATACTTCGGATCCCTACTTCGGATCCCTCTAGACCCTAAACCCTAAACCCTAAACCCTAAACCCTCATCGGGGGCTCCTTGGACCCCTCAGGCGCAGAGCCAGCAAAGGCCACGGTGTACCTGGCGGAGAGTTCGTTCTTCAGCTTAGGATTTCGGGTTTCGGGTTTAGGGTTTAGGGTTTCGGGTTTCGGGTTTCGGGTTTCGGGTTTAGGGTTTAGGGTTTAGGGTTTAGGGTTTAGGGTTTAGGGTTTTGGGTTTAGGGTTTAGGGTTTAGGGTTTACATTTTAGTTTTAGGGTCAACAGAGATTGGGGGGGAGGAACGGGGGTGGGTGATAGGGCTTTTGCGGGTTTGGGGTTTGGGGGTTTTAAGGGCTTAGGATTGTACAGGGTTTATTAGGGGGGTTTAGAGATTAGGGTCGGCTTTGGGAGCTTCAACCTTAGGGCTCTTGGGGATTCCGGGCCTTGGTCTTGGCGCTTGTGGTATGCGCGCCGGCGTTTCTTTTTTAGCTCGTCCGGCCCCAACACAAAACTCCCCGATAGGGTGTTTAGGGCTTAGGGTTTAGGGTTTAGGGTTTAGGGTTTAGGGTTTAGGGTTTAGGGTTTAGGGTTTAGGGTTTAGGGTTAGGGTTTAGGCCCGCATCTGCAGCATGCTCAGGCGACCCCGATAGGCCAAAGCCATGGACATGTTGACGAATCGTCATGTCAAAACTACATTTAACCAAATCAAAACCGGAGAACGAAATCGAAATAGCAAAAAAAAAGTATACCTAGAACGATAGCCAACATAAGATTGCAACAAGCTAACCCTAAACCCTCAACCTCAACCCTAGACGTTAAACCCGAAACCCTAAACCCGAAACCCTACACCCTCAACCCGAAACCCTAAACCCTAAACTAGCAGCAGTAAAGAACGTCTCTGGCAGGGTGGCCTGCGGCCACCTTGCGGAATGACCGTGAACCTCGGGGGCGCGCGCTGGGCAACTGTCGGGAGGCAATGGCTTTGCTTTGGGGTCTTGGGTTTAGGCGGGGGGTGCTTAGGGCTCAGGGCTCAGGGCTGAGGGCTTAGGGCTTAGGGCTTGGGGCTTGGGGCTTAGGGCTTAGGGCCTCTTGTGGTTTTGGGGGGTTTAGGGCTTTTTGGCCCTTAGGGTGGCAGGGCTTAGGTGGGTTTAGGGTTTGCCGAAGCCTCCGAACCAATGATGAACAGTGCTGCAAATACATATCCCTCTCTCCGGATGCCCGGTTGGGTGCTGCATCCCTACACGCTAAACCTAAACCCCTGGGTATGGGGCGTTGGGCCCGCAATTCTGAACCCAAACAACTCCCTGGCCAAAAGGTTTGGGACACCCCGAAAGCCGAAAACCGAAACCCGAAACCCTAGCCCTAAACCCTAAACCCTAAACCCGAAACCCTAAACCCTAGCCCTAAACCCTAAACCCTGAACCCGAAACCTTCAACCCGAAGGGCAGGTGGGGGATTTGTGGGCTTCTGCTCTGAAGGGGTTTCTGGGTTTAAGGTTTTAGGAGGCAAGGGCCTAGCTTTTAAGGACGGGGGGGGAGGGGGGTGGGGGGGGGTGGTGGGGGGGGGAGGGGGTTGGGGGGGGGGGTGGGGGGGGGGAGGGGGTGGGGAGGAGGGAGGGGGGGGGGGGGGGAGGGGGGGAGGGGTGGGGGGGGGGGGGGTGGGGGAGGGGGGGGGGGGAGGGGGAGGGGGGGGGGGGGGGGGGGCAGGGGGGGGGGGGGGGGGGGGGGGGGGGGAGGGGAGGGGGGGGGGGGGGGGAAGCGGGGGCGGGGGGGCGCGGGGGGTTGTGCGTTCTTGCCTTGTCCGAAAGTAATTGCAAGGGGCCCCCTCTTGTGGAAAATGCCCCCACATACACCCTGCACAGCGATTCCTAAGGCCAGCTAGTTCCCAAACCATACCTTGAGAACACAAAACCTACTTTTTGTTCGGTCATGCTAGCACTCTAGAATCCTGATAGGATTCTTAAACAATTCTGTAGGTGTTGGTTCTTCAGGTACCCTAGAACCCCTACCACCCCAAATTTTCTGCCCTAAACCCTAAACCCTAAACCCTAAACCCCAAAAACGGAATAGAAACCCCTTAAAGGGACCCCCCACGAAGGTTAAGTCTTCGCCCGGGCACTTGTCAGGATGCCTCTCTAAAAATTCTCGAAGCTGTCCGAGCCTGGGCGGCGATTTGGAGTTCAGGGTTTAGGGTTTAGGTTTAGGGTTTAGGGTTTAGGGTTTAGGGTTTAGGGTTTAGGGTTTAGGGTTTAGGGTTTAGGGTTTAGGGCAGCGAGTCGGAGTTCAAGGTTGCGGGTTTGGGGCTCAGGGTTTCGGGGCTCAAGCTTTGGGACCTAGGGTTGGCGGACTGAGAAGTCTTCCTTTAGGGTTTAGGGTTTAGGGTTTAGGGTTTAGGGTTTAGGGTTTAGGGTTTAGGGTTTAGGGTTTAGGGTTTAGGGTTTAGGGTTTAGGGTTTGGGGTTTAGGGTTTAGGGTTTAGGGTTTAGGATCAAGGTTCAGAGGCGCAAAGCGTTGGATTCGTGCGGCGCGGCTCTTGGTTCGGGGTTTGGGGGCTTTAGGGATGTAAGGTTGGGGCTTCTAAAGTTTTATATGTATATATATATATATACACATTTCTTTACTATTTATTTATTTGTTTATTTGTTTACTGGTCCAGGGGTGATATTAGGGGCATTCCCTTCAACAAAGACAAAGGCTTTATGAACCACAGCCCTTTCCTGA